GCCTGGCCTTTCTTTCCAATCTTAGCTTTTTGTTTCTTTTTCTTGCTTCATTGCACTAGCAATTTGGTTGTTGGAAGTTGTCTTGCAGTTCACTAAAATATTGAGATTTTTAAAGGTCTTTTTTCTCTGTGTGTTTCATTTTGCCCAAGCTCACCATAGTTTCTACAACTATGCTTTTGAGTTCACTGTTGCTCTCTTCTGCAATATCTCATCTTCCACTATTTCCATCCACTGTATTTTTCATTTTGGACGTTGTAGTTTCCATCTCTAAAAGTTTTCTTTGGTCTTTTAAAATATGATCATGCTCCTACACAGTCAATATTTCTTTTAGCTTAACACATGACATACATTTGATAACTGTTTTAATGTTATTGTCTACTAATTTTATCATCAGTGTCATTTCTAGGTCAGCGTCAATTGTTCGATTACCTCTCCATTACGGGTAGTGTTTTCTCGTTTCTTTGCATGCCTGGTAACCATTGATTGGATGGCAGACATTTGTGAATTTTACCTTGTGGTGTACTACATATTTTTGTATATCTATACGTAATCTTGATTTCTGACAGAGTGGTGGGCCAAAGGAAAAAAAAAAAGACAAAGAAAATGAATGTATAAATAATCTTGAGTTTTGTTCTGAAAAGTAATTAGGTTACTTGGAAACAGTTTGGTCCTTTAGTTAGGTGGGCCCAGAGCTGTATTAGGTAGGGTTACTTTTTCCCCACTGCTCAGCTAATACCCTGAGGCCCCCTGGATTAATGCACTCTGGCTATCAGGAACAGATTCTGAGAGCTATTCCATCTCTTTGTTTTTTTTTCTTTTAAGACAGAGTCTCGCTCTGTTGCCCAGGCTTGGGTACAAAGGCACAATCTCGGCTCACTGCAACCTCTGCCTCCTGGGTTCAAGCAATTCTCCTGCCTTAGCCTCCCAAGTAGTTGGGATTACAGGTGCCCACCACCACGCCTGGCTAATTTTCATATTTTAGGAAATATGAAATTTCATATAATATGAAATTAGAGACTGGGTTTTGTCATGTTGGTCAGGCTGGTCTTGAACTTCTGACCTCAGATGATCTGCCTGCCTCAGCCTCCCAAAGTGCTGGGATTACAGGCGTGAGCCACTGCACCCGGTCTATTCCCTCTTATCTTTTTGAGTGGTTCTTACCCCAGCCTCAGATCATTTCCACTTGATTAATACTCAACTAAATAGTTGAGGGGACCTTCAGAGTATCTCCAGCACTCTTTCTCTGTAGTTCTCCTCTCTCCAGTGCTCTGCCTTACAAACTTTAGCCTCTTTGTCTTCCCCCAGGCCCCTGGACATGTCTTGTTAATGAGGGGAGCCTTGGCATGGGAACTTTCTCCAGGTGACAAGTCAGTGGACTCACCTGCATTTCCTTATTTCTCTCGTTGATCACTGTTTGCTATTGTCTAATGTGTAGGTAGCACCTTGAGTGTCATTTCTTTTCATCTGTTTGGTTTTGTCTTTTAAGACATTTCAGAAGGGAGGGTAAATCTAGTCTCTGTGACTCTGTTCTGAAAAAGAAGTTCCTGGCATCACAGTGGCATTGGAGTTGGTCAGGAAGTGTCAGAGCTGGCTCTACACAGGAGCTGGGAGGCTTTTCTTCCTTTATACCAGTTGGCACGCCTGCCCCCAGAGGAGGACTAATCCTACTGTCAGTGCCTTCAAGCTCTCAGGAGCTGGGTGCCAACTGGGTCAGTAACCAGGGAGAGGAGGTAACTGGTGTGCCCATGGGGAACCAGAGTTGGCATATCCATTATAACTCTGTCAACAGAATGCTTCTTCACCGAGGTTCCAACCACCACTTCTCCAGCCAGCCCAGTTGGGTTAGGGTGCCTTCCTCTAAGGGCTCTGACCTCACCTCCAGTTAATGACCTCACCTGGCCATACCTGGAGGGGATTAGCACCCACAGCTTCCCAGCTGGCAACATTAGACACTACCTAGCAACAACAATGACAAACTTCCATTTTTGAGCAGTTACTATTTGCCAGGCCCTGAGCTACCTACCAAATTGAGGCCAGGAGAGGGAAAGCCGCTCACCCAAGTGACGCCACTGGAAAGGGGAAAAAGGGGGATTCAACACTTACCTCTGGAGACCTGGGGGATGGTCTGTGAACATACATCCTGGGAACTTTCTGAGGCTCTGGGTCCCATCCTCCATTTTTGCCTGGGCTACTGTCTGTTTCTGGCTTTTGTTTGCCTCTGGGTCTGAAACCCTATCCCGAATCTGCTTAGTTCTGGGGCATGGCATGGTGTGCGGGACACACACTGACTTTGTTAACAGACAGGCTGAGGTTCAAATCCTACTTTCTAACTGTGACCTTGAGGGAGTCACTAAATTCTTGCTGAGCCATAAGAATCACTTCTACAAAATGGGGTAGTGGTATTATTTCACAGGGTGAAGGTGAGGAATAAATGAGATAATGTCTAAAAAGTGCTTACTTCCACCTCGGTGTTCACTGCATGGTGCTGAGACGTACAGTGTCCGATCAGGTACTATCTCTCTGTCCTAACAATAAGTAAAAAGTAGGGCCGGGCACGGTGGCTCACACCTGTAATCCCAGCACTTTGGGAGGCGGAGGTGGGCAGATCACCTGAGGTTGGGAGTTTGAGACCAGCCTGACAAACATGGAGAAACCCCCATCTCTACTAAAAATACAAAATTAGCCAAGTGTGGTGGCGGGCGCCTGTAATCCCAGCTACTTGAATCAGGAGAATCGCTTGAACCCAGGAGGCTTAGGTTGCGAGGAGCCGAGATCGTGCCTAGGCAAGAAGAGCAAAACTCTGTCTCAAAAAAAAAAAAAAGTTTAACAAGCTGGAAAATCAATTCTTCTTAGATCCTTTAGAGAAGTGAGGTCATGGGGAAAACCACTACCCTCAAAACTGAACACAGAGAAGCAGAAAGCCCCAAGCAGAAACCTCTAGAACTGGTAGGTACCAGGGCAGCACAACCTAAACTGTAATTGAAGAATTGCTGGAGGCTCAGTATGTGCAAATCTGAATGGTAAACATTCCAGCAAGATCCAGCCATAGGGGCGCCCCCACATGTTTGTGATTTAATCTTCAGGATCTCTATCCTGTCCTCCTGGTGAATGTCAGAGAAAAATCCCCAGGTGCTTTCAGCATGAGGATGGGAAAAGTAACCATTTTGAAATATGCCAGAGCATTCTGTTCTTAACAAGGCCTGCTCTCAAGAACTACGTTACCCCAGCCCAATCTTCTGCGGCTTTATCAGAGCCTAGCTGACCTGAGGGAAGGGTAATAGCCAACTCCACTCTCCTCTACCCATCTTGCCCCACCTAAGGGGAGGAAAAAATGGAGAAGCACTGGTGAACCTCACAGTCCAGGAGGGTTCCTGGGCTGTTTAAAAGAGTGAGAGCTGGCCGGGTGCAGTGGCTCACGCCTCAAATCCCAGCTCTTTGGGAGGCCAAGGCGAGCAGATAATGAGGTCAGGAGTTTGAGACCAGACTGACCAACATGGTGAAACCCCATTTCTAATAAAAATACAAAAATTAGCCTGGCATGGTGGCGTGCGCCTGTATTCTCAGCTACTCGGGAGGCTGAGGCAGGAGAATTGCTTGAACCAGGGAGGCAGAGCTTGCAGTGAGCCGAGATCGCGCCACTGCACTCCACCCTGGGCAACAAGGAGAGACTGTCTCAAAAAAAAAAAAAAATGTGAGAGCTAATCGCAGAATTGTAGAATGCCACCCCAGCCCCATACCTCCTCCACCACATTACTAAAGGCCTGTTTTACAGGAATTCCTTTTACCAGGTGTAGGAGCTATGGGAAAACTTCCCCTTCAACCTCTGAAGTTTCACTAAAAACCAACATACAGGCCGGGTGCGGTGGCTCATGCCTGTAATCCCAGAACTTTGGGAGGCCAAGGCAGGTGGATTACCTAGGTCAGGAGTCCAAGACCAGCCTGGTTCGAGACCAGCCAACATGGTGAAAACCCATCTCTACTAAAAATACAAAATTTAGCTGGGCATGATGGCAACCGCTGTAATCCCAGCTACTCAGGAGGCTGAGGCAGGAGAATCACTTGAACCCAGGAGGTAGAGCTTACAGTGATCCAAAATCACGCCATTGCACTCCAGCCTAGGTGACAAAAACAAGACTCTGTCTTAATAATAATAATAATCCACTTACAAAAGGCAGATCAGTAGGAGAAATGGCGTACAAATTTGTTAGCATGCACAGGGAACAATCACAGAGTGATTACCCAATATCCCGTGGAGTAAAGGTGGTTATTTACCCTTCTTTTTTGAGACGGAGTCTCGCTCTGTCGTCCAGGCTGAAGTGCAGCGGCGTGATCTCGGCTCACTGCAACCGCCACCTCCCGAGTTCAAGCAAACAGTTCCCCTGCCTCAGTCTCCCAAGCAGCTGGGACCACAAGCATGTGCCACCACGTTCGGCTAGTTTTTGTGTGTATGTGTATTTTATTTTATTTATTTATTATTAATTTTTACTGTAAAGCTTTTGGCCACAATAATGTGTGTGTGTATTTTAGAAGAGACAGAGTTTTACCATGTTGGCCTGGATGGTTTTGATTTCCTGACCTTGTGATCCACCCACCTCAGCCACCCAAAGCGCTAGGATTACAAGTGTGAGCCACGGCACCCAGCCTACCTTCTTCTTTTTTAATTTATTTTTTTGTTGTTTTTTTTTTGATACGGAGTTTTCGCTTTTGTTGTCCAGGCTGGAGTGCAAGGTCGCCATCTCGGCTCACCACAACCTCTGCCTCTCGAGTTCAAGCAATTCTCCTGCCTCAGCCTCCCAAGTAGCTGAGATTACAGGCATGTGCCCCCACGTCTGGCTTATTTTTGTATTTTTAGTAGAGATCGGGTTTCTCCATGTTGGTCAGGCTGGTCCAGAACTCCTGACCTCAGATTATCCACCTGCCTCGGCTTCCCAAAGTGCTGGGATTACAGGCATGAGCCATCGTGCCTGGCCTAAAAAATTTTCATAAACTTATTAAATTTAAAAAAAATGGAATGCTTTACGAATTTGCATATCATCCTACCGCAGGGGCCAGGCTGGTCTCTCTGTATCATAACAACTTTAGTATATGTGCTGCCAAAGCCAGGACTATATACCCGTCTTCTTAGGGGAAGGAAGATGGGAAAGTACATGATTTGAGGGGATATGAAATGACTTTTAGGGGAATTTGATGGGCTTGAAGAACGTACAATTTTCTCGGACAAACTCTGTGGGGCCTGCAGAGCAGACAATGGTTTGTGACAAAAGTCTGTCTAGATTTATTGACAGACTTGGGTCTTTCTTCCCGTAATATGAATTCAGTTAATGAAAACTCAAAGAAAGGACTAGAGGTAATTGTTTTCTTTGGCAGCACTGGACTTTAGGCAGATACGGGAACTTCAGAGAACAACCTAATCATGTGCTTTGGGAGGGACATAGGATTCCGACACAGGAGATGAGGGAAGGTCAGAGAGACCTTGAGGCTTCTTCAATTCGTCATGTCAAAGCACCAGATTTTGTTGTATTGGTTTCTGAGCCCCAACCCCAGTATACCATGTGTGGCTTTCATTTTGTTTTTGTTTTTCTTTTTTTTTAGACCACGTCTCACTCTTGTCCCCCAGGCTGGAGTGCAGTGGCACAATCTTGGCTCACTGCAACCTCCACCTCCCCGGTTTCAAGCGATTCTCCTGCCTCAGCCTCCCGAATAGCTGGGATTACAGGCGCCTGCCACCATGCCCAGCTAATTTTTGTATTTTTAGTAGAAATGAGGTTTTACCATGTTGGCACCTGGCTGATCTCAAACTCCTGACTTCAGGTGATCCGCCTGCCTCAGCCTCCCAAAGTGCTGGGATTATAGGAGTGAGCCACCGCACCTGGCCTACGTGTAGCTTTCAATGAGAAATTACAAGGCATTAAAGGCAAAACACACACTTTGAGGAAAAAGAGCAAGTGTCAGAACCAGACTCAGATATGACAGGAATGATATGACAGGAATGTTGAGATGATCAGCTTCAAAGTTTAAAACAACTATAATTAATATGTTGGGGGCTCTGGCGGAAAAAGTAGATAACATGCAAGGTGGGTAGTATATGCACAGAGACAAAAAAGTCTAAGAAAGTTTTTTTTTAAATGATAGAGATAAAAAAAATACTGTAACCAAATTTAAGAATGCCTCTAATGGGCTCATTGGTACAGGGGACGCAGATGAGGAAAGAATCACTGAGGTTGAGAATATGTTAGTGGAAACTTTCAAAACTGAAAAGCAAAGAGATAAAAGACTGAAAAAAATGACAAAGAATATCCAAGTACTGTGAGACAGCTATATAAGATATATGTATAATGGGAATACCTGAAGGAGAAAAAGGACAAAAGAAATATTTGAAGCAAGAATACAGGTAACTGAAAATTTCACCCATTTTTTTTTTTTTTTTTTTTGAGGTGGAATCTGACTCTGTCACCCAGGCTAAAGTGCAATGGCACGATCTCTGCTCACTGCAACCTCTGCCTTCCGGGTTCAAGCGACTCTCCTGTCTCAGCCCCCTCAGTAGCTGGGATTGCATGTGCCTGCCATCACGCCTGGTTAACTTTTTTGTATTTTTAGTGGAGATGGAGTTTCATCCTGTTGGCCAGGCTGGTTTGAACTCCTGACCTCAGGTGATCCACCCACTTTGGCCTCCCAAAGTATTGTGATTATAGGCGTGAGCCACCGGGCCCAGAAATTTCACCAAATTAATGTGAGACACCAAACCACGGATCCAGGAAACTCAAATCTCTCTCTCTCTCTCTCTCTGTGTGTGTGTGTGTGTGTCTCTCTCTTTTTCTCTCTCTCTCTCTCTGTCACACACACACACAGCTCCAAACCCTACACCCAGGCATATAATATTTAAACTGCATAAAATCTAAAATCAAAGATAAAGAAAAAATTTTGGAATAAAAGCAGAAGGGTAGCCAACAGTACTCTGGCAAAAAAAAAAAAAAAAGAAAGAAAGAAAACACCAAACAAAAAGAAAAGGAATAACTTTTTAAAAAAAGAAAGCAGATGGAGGGAACACTTAGCTATAGAGGAGCAAAGACATTACATCTGAGTTCTCAGAAACCAAGCATGCTAAAAGAGAATGAAGTGAATATTTTAAATATTGGGAGAAAAAAGCCCACCAACCTAGTATTCTGTATCCTGAAAACTTTCCTTCAAACGTGAAGGAACCAGGCGGGTGCTGTGGCTCATATCTGTAATCCCAGCACTTTGGAGGCCGAGGCAGGCGGATCACGAGGCCAGGAGATCCAGACCATCCTGGCCAACTTGGTGAAATCCTGTCTCTACTAAAAATACAAAAACTAGCTGGGCGTGGTGGCACGTGCCTGTAGTTCCAGCTACTCAGGAGGCTGAGGCAGGAGAATCGCTTGACCCCAGGAAGTGGAGGTTGCAGTGAGTCAAGATTGCACCACTGCACTCCAGTCTGGTGACAGAGTGAGGCTCCATCTCAAAAAAAAAAAAAAAAAAAAATTAACAAATCTAGCTACATATATAAAGTTTAATACATGTAGTCCAAATAGAGTTTAATCTCAAGAGTGCAAGCTTGTTTTAGTATTTGAAAATCAATCTGTGCCTGAAACAGTGGCTCACACCTGTAATCCCAGCACTTTGGGAGGTCGAGGCTGGTGGATCACCTGAGGTCAGGAGTTTGAGACACACCTGGCCAACATGGCGATACCCCATCTCTACTGAAAATACAAAAATTAGCCATGTGTGGTGGTGTGTGCCTGTAGTCCCAGCTACTCAGGAGGCTGAGGCAGGAGAACTGCTTGAACCTGGGAGATGGAGATTGCAGTGAGCCGAGATCTTGGCTCTGCACTCCAGCCTGGATGACCAAGCAAGACCCTGTCTCAAAAAAAGAAAAGAAAATGTATGTACTTGATTATACTAACAAAAATTATATTCTGCTTTTTAAAAAGCGAAAGTGAAACAAAGGCTATTTTAAACAAAATTGAGGGAATTTGTTGCCAGTTAACCTAATTTACAAGAAATGTTTAAAGACGTTCTTCAGAGAGAAGGAAAATTTGAGTTTCTTCAGAAACTCAAATCCACATAAAGAAAGAGCAATAGAGAAAAAACAAGTAAAGAGAAAACGTATACTTTTATTCTTATTCTTAATCAATCTAACAAATAAGACGATGCTCAAAATAATAGCAACAATGATTATAGTTATATAGAAGTAAAATGAATACAGTGAAACAAGGGATGGAAGGAGGAATTAGGAATATTTCATTATTGAAGCAGGATAGTGTCATTTGAAAGTGGACTGGGATTAGTGTATATGTATATCGAAAACTATAAGGCAATCACTAAAACAATTTTTTTTTTTTCAGACAGAGTCTCGCTCTTGTCATCCAGGCTGGAGTGTGATGGTGCGATCTCGGCTCACTGCAATCTCTGCCTCCCGGGTTCAAGCTATTCTCCTGCGTCAGATTCCTGAGTAGCTGGGATTACAAGCGCCTGCCACCACACCTGACTAAGTTTTGTACTTTTAGTAGAAATGGAGTTTTGCCATGTTGGCCAGGATGGTCTTCAACTCCTGACCTCAGGAGATCTGCCCGCCTTGGCCTCCCAAAGTACTGGGATTGCAGGCATGAGCCACCACGCCCAGCCTAAAAAAGTTTTTTAAAGTAAGTATATTTGGAGGCCAAGGTGGACAGATAACAAGGTCAGGAGTTCGAGATCAGCCTGACCAACATGGTGAAACCCTGTCTCTACTAAAATTTAAAAAAAAAAAAAATTAGCTGGGCGTGGTGGTACATGTCTATAATTTCAGCTACTCAGGAGGCTGAGGCAGGAGAATCGCTTGAACCCAGGAGGCAGAGGTTGCAGTGAGCTGAGATTGCACCACCGCAAACCAGTCTGGGCGACAGAGTGAGACTCCATCTCAAAAATAATAATAATAAATAAGTATAATTGGTATGCTGAAAATAAGAGAAAATGTAATCATTTAAAATGCTCACCTAAGACTATAAAGGAAGAAAATGTGTGGAAGACAAAAATACAAGGTCAATGAATAGAAAACAGTAACAAATATGGTATATATTAATCCAGCTATATCAATAATCAATGTAAACATCAATGATCTAAATATGCCAATTATAAGACAGAGATTTGGTCAGAGTGAATCAAAAAACAAGACCCAACTATATGCTGTATACAAGAAACCCACTTTATATTTTATTTCATTTTATTTATTTTTGAAACAAAGTCTTGTTCTGTTGCCCAGGCTGGAGTGCAGTAGTGGTGTGATCTCAGCTCACTGCAACCTTTGCCTCCTGGGTTCAAGCGGGTCTCCTGTCTCAGTCTCCTGAGTAGCTGGTACTACAGACATGTGCTACTATACCTGGCTAATTTTTTGTATTTTTAGTAGAGACAGGGTTTCACTGTGTTAGAGTGGACTGGATCTCCTGACCTCATGATCTGCCTGCCTTAGCCTCCCAAAGTGCTGGGATTACAGGCTTGAGCCACTGCACCGGCCTTTTATTTTATTTTTGAGACAGAGTCTCTCTCTGTTGCCCAGTCTGGAGTGCAGTGGCACGCTTTCAGCTCACTGCAACCTCCACCTCCTGAGTTCAAGTGATTCTCCTGCCTCAGCCTCCCGAGTAGCTAGGACTGCAGGCGCCAGCCACCATGCCCGGCTAATTTTTGTATTTTTAGTACAGACAGGGTTTTACCATGTTGTCTAGGCTGATCTTGAACTCCTGACCTCAGGTGATCCACTTACCTTGGCCCCGCAAAGTGCTGGGAGCCGCCATGCCCAGCCAAGATACCACTTTAAATACAAAGACACATATAGATTAAAAGTAAAGAGATGGAGAAAGATATAACAGACTAACATGAATTAAAAGAATGTGAGAGGCTGGGCACGGTGGTTCGCACCTGTAATCCCAGCACTTTGGGAGGCCGAGGCAGGCAGATCACCTGAGGTCTGGAGCTCAAGACCAGCCTGACCAACATGGAGAAACCTCGTCTCTGCTAAAAATACAAAATTAGCAGCTGGGAATGGTGGCTCCAACTGGTAATCCCAGCACTTTGGGAGGCCGAGGCGGGAGGATCACGAGGTCAGGTGTTCA